ACTTAGGAGTTACTCAGTCTCCGTCACACTCTAGCTTGAGTAGTAGAGGTACCAGGCGGCGGAGGCCGGCTGATCCCCTTGATTCGCCAATGTTTGTTGGCTATTAACTCAAGAGGTACCCCCTGCATTTATCCCAAGTAATACAGGCGGTCATCTGACTCAGATGTCAACTGCTACCACTGGTTTGGTTAGTGATAGAGTTATCCTTGTCTCAAAAACGGCTACGTGGTTGCCCTTTGGGACAGTCGTATAGGTGCCGTGTAATTAGTTTATAGAACAATGTTCCACCCAAAAGGGAGCTGCTCTCTGCGACGAATTTCATCCGAATGGATGCCGCCGGACGCCTGCTATAATGTTGGGACAGGTCGGATTAGTTTTGTAAATTGATCAGGTGGCTTGGCGCCTGGTCTGATCATTCGGCCGGTGGCCTTGGTAAGTTCTTGGTGAACGTAGGTGCTAAGTCAAAGAAGGGTAGCCGCCTGTTAGGCACAGGGTCGGCCAGGCCCTAATCTTTTTAGCTAAGTATTGTGAGTAAAATACTCAATGGAGAGTAGCCGACTGTAAAGGAACAGACGGCATGCCCCTCTGAAGATAGAGTGAAAAAACTCAATGGAGAGTAGCCGACTGTAAAGGAACAGACGGCATGCCCCTCTGAAGATAGAGTGAAAAAACTCAATGGAGAGTAGCCGACCGACTGTAAAGGTACAGACGGCATGCCCCTCTGAATCAGTATCAAGTGGAGGACGGTCTTCAGCATGCTTGATAGATTGTCACACAAATAAGTGGAGGACGGTCTTCAGTAGGGTGCCGCCTAAACAGCCGGTTTTACTAACCTTAGGCTTTTTTTTTTTTTTTTTTTTTTTTTTTTTTTTTTTTTTTTGACTTGCAATCATAATAATGATAATGTGCTTATGGTGACAACTCACACATAAGATGAGACTTCCTGAACAATCATGCGGCAAGTTTTATACGATATGCAAGGCGTCAAGCCCCTCACATGCTTGCAATGAACAAGCAATCGGCTACTCTTTGGGTTTTGAGGCCGGCTGCTTGAGCTACGACGCTTTACATGCCGCCTGCTCAAGCTTCACATCCGGCCAAGCATGGTGTCGGTCTCCTTTGGTGGTTGATCAAAGAGAGCTGGCTCTCTCATAGCACCAAGATACGAGGGGGTGTTTTCAATAATCATTTGGCATGCCGCCTGTCTATTGCCGAGCCACTTGTATATAGCTTGCATATTCACAGGTGGCTTATTATGCCGCTTGTGTTTCTAATTCATCTTCAGTTTTCCACTCAGCAAGGAGTCTATCAAACATACGGCTTTCGCCCCTTGCTTGTGCTACTGTCGGATGCTTTAATCATAGGTGCCCATGCTCCACCTTGTACTTTGTCGATGATTTCAAAGGCCGGCTGGTTCTGCCGTGATGTGCCGGCTGTTTTTTAATTGCCGTATAGCCTGACTTGTGATGGTAGCGAGAGCCGCCTGTATAGATGGCGGGTGGCTGGCTGCTTGTGAGCTTGAATGTTACCGGCTGGTTCTATCAAAATAGCAAAGATCATAAATATGCTCGCATGTCGGGCCGTTATTGTTTCTCTTGCTTTGAACCTGAAGTAAACCGAGCACAATGGAGCTTTGCGTATGGCCGCCTGCTCTCATTAAAGGCAGGAGATGCTTTGTTATTAAGGTCAGCTGCTCAAGCTCGAGCTAGTTGATTTTGCTTGATCCCGCTGGGCATTATTTAGACCAAAGTGATCTGAAAAACATGAAGACCCATGTTATCTCACGCATGGCTTGATGCGTTTGCTGTGGATGCCGCTTGCTTGGCTGCCGTTTGTAGGATTATTGAGTGTCGGTTGAGACCATTGACTTAGCTTGTTTTGTGACCGGCTGCCTTGCTTTTGTCTTGATGGTGTAGTTCAAACAAACTTGGGTTGGTTTGTAATCATGATGGCTTCGTTTGATATGTCGCTTGTTATTACAAGTTTAGCCAATCATGCCACCCATCACAAAGTTGGGCAAGACATGCCGCCTGCTTCTTCAAGTATTTGCCCATTCAAATACTCCTCCATGTGCTAAACTCTCCAAGATAATGTGCCATGCCGTCTGTCTATACTCAGCCTTGCACATTGAATGGATTTAATGACCGGCTGATTAAAGGTGGGCTTTTACGTGCTTGCTGATGTTTGAAACAAGCATGGCCACACCCGGCTGCTCATAATCTTGGCTGATATTCTCCTAGCAGCTCGCAAGAATTGAGACATACACGCGTGTGTAGGCTATATGCTTTTGAAATGAAGTCATTGTATTCAAATTTCGGCATCGAATAGCCGAATATTCATGCGACTGTTGAGACAGCCGCTTGTTTTTAGAGTCAAATTCAAGACTATCACATACATAAGCCGGTGGTTACGGCTGTTTGCTGGGCAGGTGCCGCCTGCTTCATCTTTAAACATGGCCGTCTGTTTATTGCAGCTGCTGCCGCCTCTTTCGGCTTTTTACGAAGCTTTCTTACCTCCAGGCTGTACATGTGATTGCTTGTTTGCCCAATGTACCACCAAATGCTTAGAGTTAGCCGACTGTTCACCTCATCCCAACACAGCCAAGTTTAAGATACCTGACCGGCTGTTTTTAGCATGTTGACGTACTTAGCCAAAATCGTTGTGATGGCCGGCTGTTTAAGTGCGTTGGTGATTTAAGTAGCACCTGACCACTGGCAGCCAGCTTGTAGCATAGAGGAAGCCGCATGTATGCTCATACATTTAATCTCATTCGAAGCTTTGGCGTTGAATGGACGAATGCTCAGGAAGCTAAATGTTTATACAGCCGGTTGTTTCCACATTCCACCATAATAGCCGGTTGCTAGTTTGCTGGATACACAACGAAATGCGTAAAGATGGCCGACTGTATTATTTGCCCAGTGTCTGAGCTATCCACATAGTGCCGGTTGACTTGCTTATTATGCATTGTCTAACAAAATTCGAAGATTGCTTTGTTTTCATGGAGTTGAAACCTTTTCGCCTCGAACTCGGCATTTGGCCGTGTATTTTAGAGTTAGCTTGGCACATAATTGCCGCTTGTTTATGTGGAGTTGGGAGGCTTGTTGGCTATGCTTGTGATACTGCCGGCTACTTTTATGAATTAGCCGGCTGTTTTGCTAATCATGGTTGGTTTTATTGCGGCTGTTATATTTCCTGCTAGCTTGAGGCTCGACATTGGGGTGCCGCATGTTCAAGCTTCTCTCTAATGTACTTGTCTCTTTAATTGTTGTAGTGGGTTGCCCCCTAATGAAAGCAGGCGTCAAATTGCAAATGCCACACTTCCTGACACACCTCTCTAATGTACAAATTTCTCAGCTTTAATTATTGTAGTGGATTGCCACCTAAGGCTCTTAAGTGGAGCTTTGCCATACATATTACCACAAGTTAAGTGGACCAGGCGCCAGATGTGGAACGAGGCGACTGTCAAGCTGACAGTTCTGAGAGAGGGACCAAGGTGTTCCCTTCTCATCTAACCGTGGACATGTCTAATTTACCTTCTGCTCCTTCTAAGGGAGAGGAGGCGGGCCCCTCTAGGAGAGGGGAGGCGTCGTCCTCTTCGGACTCGTCAGGGGACGAGTCCGATTCCAGCTCTTCTGACCATAGTTCTTCTGACCATAGTTCTTCTGACTCAGAAGAAAAACATAACCGCCTACAAGAGGCGAGAAGTTCCCATGCAGTGGAGAAGGGGGATAATTGGGCAGAGCCGTCCGCCTCTTACAGAGAGGAAAACACCCCCTACTACTGCAGGGTGCCCCGGGGCCGGATCGCAACCATGCGAGACAACGTGGCGAGCTTTATTGCTAACCACAAAATGGGCCCGGAGTATTTACTGTTTGTGCCGGATCCAGAAGATACTGTCGTCTGGCCGGCTGGTACCAGCTATGGTGACGGCTGTTTTGGCTGCTATGATAATAATAAATAGCTTACAAGCTTGACCGTCTGACTCTTTGCATTCGGCCGTATGACGCCTGCAGTAGTTGGCCGCCTGGTCGGATGCTCGGAGGTTGGTATATTGCCGGTTGTACCCAGTAGTTTCATGCGAGGCGCATGTAACTTCAACTGGGAGTGGTTTGATCTGGCCGACCGTTCCTTTGGTGGAGCGGTAGCCTTTTTATTGACAAGCTCTTGGATCTTTCCCTTGAAAGTACTCATGAGGGCCATGAGTTCATTCCTGGTTATAGGGGCAGATCCCTCGGCCGCCTGTTGATTTAGCCAGGCAGGCTCCCCGTTCCTTCCTTTCGGGTGCGTCGAGCTCTGAGGGACCCGTCAGGGGCCGTGTGAGTCTCAACTTCATATTCTTCGTCGGTATCATGGTCCGACTGATCTTGAGGGTCGTCTAGGGGACGCCTCTCTTCAAGAGTCGGTACAGACGTGGATGCCATCTCAGAAGTACTCTCCCCACAGACGGCGCCAAATGTTTCGGGGTTTTCTGATGTCCTGCGGGAGAGTTACAACACCAAGACTGGAACCGGCCGCCTGTACCTGCAAAATAACGGAGACTCCTGAGAGCTCCGCCTCCAACGGTCAAGTTAGTACTTGTTTGAGGAGTAATAAATGCGGAAATTAAAGGGGGGAGATCTGGTTCCTCTAGGGGAGGAGTGATCAATGTGTTTAGACTTCTCTAGGTGAGAGTCATTCTGTTGAATATGGAGGCTAATGATATGTTTATATAGCCTCGAAGTATGTGCCCAATACTAGGTTTTCTGGGAAAACCTAAGACTGATTGGGCTTGCCTCGGGAATTGGGCCTGCGATGGCCGTTTTCCAGGTTGGCGGATAATGGGCCAACATGATGTGACCTGATTAGTCCATGTTGGACCTATTAGGGTGACAAGTGGCGGACGCTGATTGGCCCACGTGGTGGACACGTGGCAGGTCCGGATTGGTCCATTTGTCATGGGTAATTTTACCCTAAACAATACCGACCATCTGAAAAGCTCTCGGTCAGAAAAACCGAGCAAGATGGAGGAGAAAAAAGAAGAGAAAAAGAGGAAGGAAGTATGGACGGTCGAAGAGGGGCCGTCCAAAAGCAAAAAGGCGAAGAAGGGTTATGAGCCTAAGTTTGAGTACAACACAGATTGTTACTCCATTTTGATGGAGATCAAAGACCGTCTGAAATTTGATAAGCCGCATCCTATGAAAGGGCCGGTTAGGTTCCGAGACAAAAATAAATACTGTCACTTTCACAAGGATGTCGGGCATGAAACTAACGACTGCATAAATCTGAAGAAGCTGCTAGATAAACTGGCGGCAGACGGTCATTTGAAAAATTATGTACTCAAGTCGTCGGTTACCTTGAAGACGGATTCAAAGTCTGGAAGGGAGAATCCGCATGACTCGGACTCAGACTCAGGGTTCGTTGCTGTAATAGCCGGCGGCTTCGCCTCTGGTGGGCCGACCATAAGAGGAGCCAAAAACCATGCCCGCAGTTTGGGGCAGGTTATGTCGACTCTAAGGGCCGACCCAGAACCCTTCCCGAACATAACAATTGCTGAGGCGGACAGAGGCAAGGTCCAAACCCCGCATGATGATCCAACGGTGGTAGAACTCAAGGTCGCCAACATGAGAGTCCGCCGTATCCTCGTAGATACGGGCAGCTCGTCAGACATCATCAGCTTATCATGTCTCAAGCACTTGAAGTATGATGAAAAAAAGCCTCCTTCCTGTCTCTCACCCTTTGGTTGGGTTTCGGCGGTGGAGTTATTCATCCGGTAGGACGGATAGATCTCCCCGTCCGGGTGGGAGAAAAGAAAAGCTGCAGGAACTTAGTTGTTCGGTTCCTAGTAGTTCAAGACCTGACGGCTTATAATATTATTATTGGTCGTCCAACATTGAATGATATCAAGGCGGTTATTATACCGACCTTAATGTTGGTTAAGTTCGTCTGTGAAGATGGAGCCGTTGGTACCATTTATGGTGACCAACAGACAGCAAGAGAGTGCTACCTCGCGGCTGTTAAAACCACTTCACCCGCTCCTGAGCTAGTTGTGCTAGACCGACCGGAGACGTCTAAGGTCGGCCACAAAAGAAGGCCTGATCCCGAGACTAGGTCGGTGAAATATGCAAAGCAAGAGGAGCAATAGCAATCACTGGCCGGGGAGAGGCCAAGTGGGCTCCGCCCCCAACCAGTCGACAAGCACATTGAAGTAGCTCTAGATCCGGCCAAACCGGACAGGGTGGTTATGGTGGGGGCAGGAATTTCCAAAGAGTTAGAGTTTTCTCTAACAAATCTGCTCCGGGAATTCAAGGATATATTCGCCTTTGAAGCAAGTGAAATGCCTGGTATTGACCCTAGTCTGGCCGTGCATAAGTTAGCCGTTGACCGAAACAAAAAGCCGGTCAGACAAAAGAAGAGAAACTACGGCGAAGAGAGGAATCAGGCGGCAGCGGCTGAGGTCAAGAAGTTGTTGGACGCTGGGTTCATTCGGCAGTGTTACTACCCGGATTGGGTCGCAAACATAATTTTGGTGAAAAAGCCGAATGGGACTTGGCGGATGTGTGTTGATTATACCGACCTTAACAAAGCCTGCCCAAAGGATAGCTTCCCACTACCAAAGATTGATCGGCTGGTAGACACAACGGCTGGTCATGAGCTGATGAGATTTATGGACGCCTACTCAGGCTTTCATCAAATACCGATGTGGAGAGAAGATCAAGAGAAAACAGCCTTTGTCACTGAGCAAGGGTTGTACTGTTATAGGGTGATGCCATTCGGTCTCAAAAATGCGCCCGCCACTTTCCAGCGCCTGGTCAACAAAGTATTTGAAAATCAAATTGGCCGGAATTTGGAGGCATACATAGATGATATCATTGTGAAATCTAAGTTGAAGATGGATCACCTCGCCGATCTCCGAGAAACCTTCACCACACTCAGGCGGCATAGAGTAATGTTAAATCCCAAGAAGTGTGTTTTTGGTGTTGAGTCTGGGAAGTTTCTCGGTTTCTTGATAGATCAAAGGGGCATTGAGGCGAACCCAGATAAAATTCAGGCGGTCCTTGACATGTCCTCCCCCAAAAGTGTTAAAGAGGTCCAGCGTTTGACCGGATGTTTGGCAGCTTTAGGCCGCTTTCTTAGCAGGGCAGGAGATAAGTGCCATTATTTTTTTCAAACAATCAAGAAGAAGGCGTCCTTCGAATGGACGGCCGAGGCAGAGTCGGCTTTTCAGCAACTCAAAAGTCATCTACATTCACTCCCGCGATTGGTCAGTCCCATGGAGGGTGAGACTTTGTACATGTATTTGGGGGCGTCTGACCACTCGCTTAGTGCTGTTCTCCTAGCCGAGCGGGAGGGCAAGCAACTCCCGGTATACTTCGTGTCGCATGTTCTGAGAAATGCTGAGTTGAGATATTCTATGATTGAGAAGTTCGGCTTAGCACTCTACATGGCTTCTAAGAAGTTGAGACCCTACTTTCTGTCTCACCCAATTGTTGTGTATACCGATCAGCCATTGAAAAAGCATATGTCTAGGCAAGAGGCCACTGGCCGGATGGCTAGTTGGGCGACAGAATTGGGCGAGTGCGCCATTTCATTTGAGCCTAGAAAGGCAATTAAGGGGCAAGCATTTGCTGACTTCTTGGTAGAAACAACAAGGGCCATTGAGCCGGATGTAGCTATCGATCGGGTTTAGAAAGTGTTTGTGGACGGCAGCGCAACAATGAATGGTTGTGGTGCCGGGATAATCTGTGAATCCCCTGAAGGGGATAAGTTTGAGTATGCTTTAAGGTTCAAATTTCAAGCCTCAAATAACGAAGCCGAATATGAAGCCCTTTTGGCCGGCATCCGAATGTGCAAGGCGGCCGGGGCAACGAAGATCAATGCAAGTTCAGACTCCCAATTGATTGTAAGCCAAGTCAATGGCGATTATGAAGCAACTCATCCGGCCATGGCCAAATATCTGGCGGCAGTTAAAAAAGAGACCGAGGACTTGGAAGATTTCCATGTTTGCCAAGTACCTAGGTCGGAAAACAATCAGGCGGATGTGTTATCAAAGTTGGCATCTTCAGCTTCGTGTGACAACCCTCGTTCGATCTTTTGGGAGGTCATGGAGAGGAGGAGCATTGAAGAAGTCCAAGTTGAGGTGATTGATAAAGGATCAACTTGGATGGACGGTATCCTAGCGTATCTTAAAGACGGCATTACGCCACCAAAGTACGCAGAGATTGTTGCCATGAAAAAGAGAGCGAGCGACTTTGAAATCGTTAAAGGAGAGTTGTTCAAAAAAGCCTTCAAGAAGCCGCTCCTAAAGTGTGTTACCCCAGAAAGGGGATGGGAGGTTTTCGATGATTTGCATCAGGGGCAGTGCGGCTCCCACATTGGAGGCCGAATCCTTGCTGCAAAAGCTGTCCGTCAAGGCTACTTTTGGCCTACTATGCAAGCAGATGCTTTGGAAATGGTGAAGAAATGCGACAAGTGCCAAAAGTTTGCAAAGCTAATACATCAGCCGGCCAGAGAATTGACGGCTATTTTCTGCCCGGTCCCTTTTGCCAAATGGGGCATGGACATTCTTGGTCCGTTTGTCCCAGCTCCCGGTCAGAAGAGGTTTGTGTTGGTGGCGGTTGATTATTTTACAAAATGGGTCGAAGCTGAGGCCGTCAGGGGCATCAAAACCAAAGATGTGATTTCCTTCATCTGGAAAAATATAATCACTAGGTTTGGAGTTCCCATGTCTATGGTTTTTGACAATGGCCCTCAATTTGAGACGCCGAATCTAAAAAACTGGTTGGGTGACCAAGGCATTAGTCATTGCTTTGCTTCTGTTGGTCGGCCTCAGGCAAATGGTCAGGTAGAAGCTTTCAATAAGTTAATATCTGACGGTATTAAGAAGAGAATTGAAAAGGCAGGCGGCCTATGGGCGGAAGAGCTTATCAATGTTCTTTGGTCGATCAAAACAACAGAAAAAGGGGCAACAGGTGAGACTCCCTTCTTTATGGTTTATGGGGCAGAAGCTGTTCTCCCTATTGAGTTAGTTGAGCCAACTTTGCGCGTAATGCTTTACAAGGAAGATGAAAACTGGGAGGCTATGAATCTAGCACTTGATTTTTTGCCCGAGCGAAGGGGCAATGCCGCCCTTCGTCACGAAATATATCGACTGCAAATGGCGCGCATGTATAACAAAAGAGTTAACAAGCGTCCCTTGAAAGTCGATGATTTCGTTCTGAGAAAGATGGAAGCGGTTGGACGGGCTAATGAGCAAGGCAAGCTCACTCCCAACTGGGAAGGTCCGTACAAGATTATAGAGGAAGTCCGGGATGGGACTTATCGACTCGAAACACTAGATGGTCGGAAAGTTCCAAGAACATGGCATGTAGATAACCTTAAGAAGTACTACTTCTAAGTTGTAAAAATTTGTAAAAATTAGCTGATATATAAAAATCTTCCGGCTTCTTCATTTTTGCTTATATTCGTTGTTTTTAAATTTTTGGACAGTCTCTCAAAAAGAGCAATGGACCAACTAACTTGGTAAATTGAAAAGACATCTTTCTAGGTCCGTTAAGTCCATTAAAATCCTTTCAAGGATTGGACACCTCTCGGTAGGATCCCTCCGGATGCTACTCAAAGAGAGCGCCGTCCCTCCGAGCGGAAGCTCTATAAAATAAAAGGTTACAAAGGATAATTTTGTAACAAGTGAGAGGAATTAAAACCCAAACCTCTCGGACCTTCCATGTCCTTTAAATCAAAAAGATTTACTCTCTTCATAGGTACCCAAGGTTGGTTATAAGCCGACCAAGAGTAAAGAGATTTACTCTCTTCATAGGTACCCAGGGTCGGTTATAAGCCGACCAAGAAGAAAAGATTTACTCTCTTCATAGGTACCCTAGGTCGGTTATAAGCCGTCCAAGAGTAAAGAGATTTACTCTCTTCATAGGTACCCAGGGTCGGTTATAAGCCGACCAAGAAGAAAAGATTTACTCTCTTCATAGGTACCCTAGGTCGGTTATAAGCCGTCCAAGAGTAAAGAGATTTACTCTCTTCATAGGTACCCAGGGTCAGTTATAAGTCGACCAAGAAGAAAAGATTTACTCTCTTCATAGGTACCCTAGGTCGGTTATAAGCCGACCAAGAGTAAAGAGATTTACTCACTTCATAGGTACCCAGGGTCGGTTATAAGCCGACCAAGAAGAAAAGATTTACTCTCTTCATAGGTACCCTAGGTTGGTTCTAAGCCGACCAAGAGTAAAGAGATTTACTCTCTTCATAGGTACCCAGGGTCGGTTATAAGCCGACCAAGAAGAAAAGATTTACTCTCTTCATAGGTACCCTAGGTCAGCTATTGGCCGACCAAAAAGGAAAATTTCCATTAAGAGATAAAAAGTGTCCGGCTATTCCCTTGGTTTGGGGCAATCATGCTAATGATTGATTAACCTAGAAAAAATGTATACCAGTTTGAGGTATAAAATTTTTCTAAGTTAATCAATCAAAATTTGTTTAAAACCAAGGAAATAGCCGGCCAGGGGCAACGAGGCGTTTACAAGTAAATTGTAAGTAAATTCAATAATGAATGCAAGTAGATAATAATTCTCGGCAAGGAAAAAATGATGTTTCAAGCATTAAAATTGTCAAAAAGTACATAAATGTGAATATTATTTCTAAGATTACAGAATACTCGGCTCGCAGGCCGGAAAGTTATACTTTGGCATTGTTCAAGCATCTGGCGACTCATCCTCCCCATGCTCGGCCTTCGCCTCTTGGTCGGCCTTCGCCTCCTCTTCTCCAA